CAGCTGAACACGCGCTGCAGCTCTCTCTGCTTCCTGTCAGTGGACACAATGTGACCAGTTGCCTCATGCCTTGATGAGACTCCACCACGGTGGACTGTATCCCTCAGATTAGAACCCGAATTAGCCTTCCCTCCCCTAAGCTGCTTCTTTCCAGGTATCTGATCACAGACTACGAGGAGTGGCACATACACAAGACTGGGGCTGAGCAGTGGGGCTATCGTCATCATGCGCCTTTGGAAACGGTCCATGTGGATGTAGAAGCTTGGAACTATCGGCCTGAGATGCTCTACAGCTGTACGTGGAGCTCAGTGGGCCATTCTAGTGAGTGTCTGGAAGACCAGGATGTGCACAAAAATTCAGACAGTGGAGGCTGTGCCCACAAGGATTCAAAGGGGGTCAAAAGAACTCAACAAGCGTTGGAAAGAGGCCACTTGTGTTATGTTCTGGCAAACGAACAAACATAATACACATACAGAGCTGCATCCTGGCAATCTGAATGAGGCTGAATTCAAGAGTAGTTGACTAATTGGGAGGAGATTTTTAAGAGCATTGAGCTGTGGCACAGTTACTGCTCCCTGCTCTCATCCAGATTCACAGCAAGAACCAACAGGCTGAGCAGGAATCTGTGGATAAAACTGTAGGGGAGGGGAATGCAAAGAAATCAGCTACCATAACTAAAGAAGCCAGTACAATCAAGGAGACGCCTTCCACTCTGCACTGGAACAGTGGGTGTTGTCAGCAGGCTCCCAGCCATTAGAGTCCAATTTGTACAAATTCACTTTGAAGGAGAAAGACTGAGCTTCAATTGCCCACTAGAGGGGCTTCCTGCCCCCAAACAACTGCTGGGGGCAGTGTTGTGCCAAGTTCAGCTTCAAGGCAGAGTCCACTGTGCTGTGGTTTCTAAATCTGGAGCTAGTACAGAACTTGAAGTGTTGCCAGCGGGTGCTGGGTTTGCAAGTGTTATGAAGTCTGGGAGGCTTGCATCAAAGTTCCAGGAAGCTACTAATGGTAGAATTGAAAAGTGATGCCAAAGTCACTGGTGGCGACATCAGGACCATGTTAGGTGAGTGGCACAGGCATGGGCTGATCTGGCCCAAAGAGATGCTCTGTGTGCTGCTGGAGAGGCTGGGATACCCCTGCTCATTGGAATCCAGGTAATACCACCACAAGAATCAGAAGCTGGACACAGAGTTGCAAGGCCCAGTATTTGCCTTGTTGGGTTTGGGTCTTGCTATAACCATTCTTGACTTGTTACTGCCCCATTCTACCCTCTGGAATGGGAAGGTTTACTCTATGCAAACTGGAAGTATGTAACTTATTTATTTTACAGGTTAGAAATCTTGAGTATCAGAGAAAACATTGGGCTTTTGACAGGCTTTTAGAAGTTTTTAAATTATATTTTGTTCATTTATTTTGTCTTTATGAATATGTGTGTATATGAGAGAGAATATGTGTGTATACGTGAGTATGTGAGAGGTGTGTGTGTGTGTATGTGTCTATAAGAGAGGGTGTGTGGTGTGAGCGTGTGTCTAAGAGTGTACATGTCAGAGAAAGAGTATGTGAGAGGTGTGTGTGAGTGTGTGTGTGTGTGAGAGAGAGAGAGAGAGAGAGAGAGAGAGACAGAGACAGAGAGAGAGAGACAGAGACAGAGAGACTGAACTAGATCATCAAGCTTGTAGAAGACACTTTTACTAAATGATTCATCTCATTGGCCTGGGACTGAGCTTTTGAGCAATATTGGGATGTCAAAGATTAGGGGGACTTCTGAAGTTGGACTAAATGAATAATGGATTGTATTGTGAGATGGCCATGCTCTTTTGAGGCTAGGATGAAATATTAAGATTTAAAAGCAATACATTTGGCTACCAACATGACACGGTATATAATTGGGATGGTTAATCAACTTAACTAGATTCAGAAACAACAAACTTAAAAGCACTTTAGCATAGTTTGAATTTCTTTTTTTTCTGCTATATATTTTCCTTTGTGATTTCTTTTCTTTTGTTTTTTTTGTTTTAAATTTATTTATTTATTAAAGATTTCTGTCTCTTCCCCGCCACCGCCTCCCATTTCCCTCCCTCTCCCCCAACCAAGTCCCCCTCTCTCGTCAGCCCAAAGAGCGATCAGGGTTCCCTGCCCTATGGGAAGTCCAAGGACCACCCACTTCCATCCAGGTCTAGTAAGGTGAGCATCCAAACTGCCTAGGCTTTCACAAAGCCAGTACGTGCAGTAGGATTAAAAACCCATTGCCATTGATCTTGAGTTCTCAGTAGTCCTCATTGTCTGCTATGTTCAGCGAGTCCAGTTTTACCCCAGGCTATAATTAGTGATCCTAGAGAAGCTAAATAAGGAGAACCCAAAGAAAAACATATAGGCATCCTCCTGAATATTAACCTTCATCAGGCGATGAAAGGAGACAGAGAGAGAGAGACCCACATTGGAGCACCAGACAGAAATCTCAAGGTCCAAATCAGGAGCAGAAGGAGAGAGAGCACGAGCAAGGAACTCAGGACCGCGAGGGGTGCATCCACACTCTGAGACAATGGGGATGTTCTATCGGGAACTCACCAAGGCCAGCTGGCCTGGGTCTGAAAAAGCCTGGGATAAAACCGGACTCGCTGAACATAGTTTGAATTTCTAAACAATGTTTGAGACCACCTCAGTGGGACAGAAGCCAAAACCATGTCCTGAGTAGGAGCCCTTTGCAAAAGCGTGATGTGAAAGACCCAACGGGCTGCTGCCACTGCTGCTGTGAAGTCCCTGCCTCATTAACTCAGCTCATGCTAGCTAAGAGCAGATTCTGATTAATAAAGGTGTATAAAGAGACCGCAGAAGAAGCACAAATATGTGAGTAATACATTGGCAACGTAAGAAGTGGAGTGGAATAAAATACACTCAGCTCATCCAAGTCCCGTGCACCCAGTGTGAACACTATGGAGAGAGGAGGCGGCAGGGCGAGGGCAACTTGACACAGGAAAGACCACGACGTGAAAAGTGCTTTGCAGCTGATCTGACAGAGAGCACAAATCGTAAACCAGGGGCTTGGTGACATGAGGGTAGAACCTAAGGATGAGACGGAAAGTGACACCACAAACCCCAGGAGACCTGGTAAAGCAGTTAGAAGCTGACTGTGGCAAGACCAGAGTGTAGGTGACACTGAGGACACCCGTGGGAGACATGCAGAAAAACTGGAGAATAAGCTCACAAGAGAATGCAGAGACAGCAGACACAGAGACGGTCAAGCATGATGATTTGCACCCCTCCTGCCCCAAACCTGGAAAATGTAAGACTTAGTTTAAAAATACATCAAACTACAAAAAACAACAACAAAACCTTTAAAGAATTAAATTTGCAAATAAAAAACACGCCATGTTCTAGAAATTTGCTGCAGAAGGCTCAATGATAGGTCATGGCCTGCTCTGCTACTGAAACTTCCTAAGAAGTTTCTATAAGGGGGGCTGGAGAGATGGCTCAGTGGTTAAGAGCATTGCCTGCTCTTCCAAAGGTCCTGAGTTCAATTCCCAGCAACCACATAGTGGCTCACAACCATCTGTAATAAGGTCTGGTGCCCTCTTCTGGCCTTCGGCATACACACAGATAGACTATTGTATACATAATAAATAAATAAAAAGAAGTTTCTATAGGGAGCTGGAGAAAGCCATCCATCACTGAGAGGGGAGTAAGCAGGCCTCAGACTTCCCAGACACAGACCAGAGATCAGAGCGGGTGGTCTTCTGAAAGGGAAACCTGCCACTCTCAGTTCTAACATCCAGCCACGATGGAAACATCACTTCCCCGATGCTCCCAGTAAATTCTTGTAAAATGGCCTGTGGACTTTGCAAACACCTCCCAGCAACCACTCATTCCTATCCAGTGCATTGGAAGACGCCAGGGTGAGGATGACAGTGCTTACTGCTGAGCAGTGGCTTTGGTATAGAGGCTTACTTCAGCCTTTGGCTTGTCTGCACTTGCATGGTTGCATGGGATGAAAAGAGAAGACAGAACCACGCTCAGCAAAGACCAGAGGCCCCCAGCAGTCAGGGTTAGCAGAGCCAGCCTGGAGCCTGACAACAGCGGCTCTTTGGCTCGCTGTGAAAGCAGTGCTAGGGTCACAGATGTGCCCTGAGGGGGTTTGCAGAGCTGCATTAAGAGCATTAAAACCCACGCAATGAGAACAGGTGTTAAAGAAGCTGGTCACAGGAGGTGACCCCGTGTCAGGGGAATGAGGAGAATGTCTAAGTGACCTGTGTGTCCAGTTACATGACTCAAACATTCTCCTCAAAGAAATGGGCTCTGTTCAGAACCGCCACCAGCTGGACAGTTCCAGGCACTGCCTCACTGATCTAGACTATCACGGGAAAGCTTCTGCCTCCAGGACACACATCCACAGGTCTAACAGCTGCAAGCTCCTCTGTCTTCTTGAATTGGTTTCTTCCTTATCGACAGAACAGGCGTCACCATCCAAACTCGCTGAGGTTCAGAGGCAGCGGAAAGAACAAATGACACCCAGGACCTCAAGTAAGGACAGCCTGTGAGTTCAGGGGATGTCCCAGGTCCCAGTCATGTACAGCTCCACACACATTTCCACCGTGGAGATCATGGTTCCCAGATGCATACGAAGCTGTGACTCCTGTCGTTGCTCTCTTTTTAGTGTGTGTGTGTGTGTGTGTACATGTGCGGGTGTCCATGTAAGTGCAGGTGCCCATGGAAGCCAGAAGAGAGAGAGCATCGGGTCCCTTGGAGCAGAATTACAGGCAGATATGAGGCCGCTGACAGGGGTCCTGGGAACAGAATTGGGCTTCTCTGGAAGAGCAGCATGTGCCCTTAACACCGCTCATCCCCAGCCCTTTTCTTTCATTCAGCTCTTACATTATTCTTTTAAATAACAGTATCATGGGCATCTCTGTAGTGGATGCATTTTTTTCCCATACTGGGAAGTATTTCCTTAGGGGAGAGAAGAAACTTTAAAATCCTCAGCGACATGTTTGGGAAGTCCTTACCTGAACCGGACTGTGGGTGTTTAAAGTTCATGTCACTGCTTATGCTGAGGTTCTTCAGGAAAGCATTGTAGTCCACCATAGTGCCGCCAATGTTGTACTCTTTCAAGAACCTGCAACACAGATGCTCACTGAAGTCAGAGCTGCAGCAAGCCTGGATAGAAGCATGCTTATTACAAGGTCCGCTTCACACTGCGCTGGCACAGATGTTAATATCTTCCTGCTATTGTTGCCTCTGTCAAGACCACCATGGGAAATACTGCTGTTGAGATTCTTAAATACAGACGGTTGGGACTGGGGAAAAGGCTCAGTCAGTAAGGCACTTGTTGTACAAGCACAAGGACCAGAGTTCCAACCACAGAACCTACACAAAGCAGGCCAGCATGGACATGTGTCTGCAAGCCCAGTGATGGGGAGGTGGAAACAGGCAGACTCCTCTGGACACTGGCCAGCCAGTTTATTCTCCCTGGGGAGTTCCAGGCCAGTGAGAGGCCCTGTCTCAAAAAAACAATAATAAAAAATGAAACAAAATGAAAAATAAATCGGTAGGCAACCCCTGAGGCCAACACCCAAGGCTGTCCTTTGGTCTCCAAGTGCATATATACACATACAGACTAAAGCTGCAGACACCCGAGGGAGAACATTTGGTCAGCTTGTAGAAGGGCACAGAGAGAGAATAGGACGGAACATACAGTCCTCTTCTTGGGAATGTTCCAGATACACTTCTACAGTTTTCTTCCCTTCGTTGGTTGGAAGAGGGAGGAACCAGATCCCAGGGCCCAAGAGGCCACTTCTTCACTAGACAGCAGAAGCAAAGCTAGCTTCCTGTAAGAAGTATAGAGACGGGGATCTGGGCAGCGAGCCAGTGAGAATCACATTTCTGTAACCAGAGAGCCCAGAGTGTGAAGGGTGAGGGATGCAAGCAGATGATTGCCTTAGCTGACAGCAGCCTATCACGGCAGGAGACGAAAACCTCGGCCCACAGAGGCCCACAGTCTCCAAAGCAAATGGCCAGAGAGTCCAGCTGTTCTTGAGACATTTATGGTGTTTACCATAATAAGATTTTTTTCTGCTTGTTTTGAGACAGGGTCTTGCTATGTATCCCAGGCTGGCCTTGAATTCGCTATGTTCTAGCCACGGCTCCCAAGTGCTAGAGTTATAGGTACGAGACCGCCACACCCAGCTCAGAACAAGAAAACTGAAAACCATGCACAACACCTCTCTCTCTCTCTCTCTCTCTCTCTCTCTCTCTCTCTCTCTCTCTCTCTTTGGAATACACTGAGATAAACGGGGAGCTTTGGTTTTTTAATGTGTTTCCTATTATTCAGATTTGTGTGTGATAAACAGTTTTTAGATGATTTCTGGGTTACTACATTTCTAAAAAATTCACAGTTTTTAAATGTTTGGTTATATTCTCCCCATATGTGTTGGTTTCTATAATTATCTACTTTCATGCTTTCTCAAAATTTAGTAATTAATACTTAAAGTATTTGTTATTTTTCTGGTTTCCAGATTGAACAGGGAGTGCCACATATCTGCTTCCCACTTGTACGTCCCTTTCCACTTTGATGAAGCTTGCTATTGTCCTAATAGGAAAACTTATCCAGAGAGATGATGGCTGCCAGATGTTAACTCAGAAACTTTCTAATCAGTCCCTGAGCCCTGATCCTGTGAAAACAGCCTAGAAGCTTGAGACCCGGGAGGCAGCAATGTCAGTATCTCTCCGAGTCCTTGGAGGCTGCTGGCCGGCATGCTGCCCTAGCAAGGCAGGAGAGCTTGGTGAGCAGCTCACCCAGCACTGCAGACCTCCATGCAACGTAGCATCCCAGCAGCCAGGGTCACTCACAGGAGAACACTGGCTGGGACTAAGGCCCTGGAATCCTATGCTCAGAAACCTGCTGTATGCACACAGAGGACAGATGGAAGCTCATGGTAGCATGCCCTGGAGAAAAGACTACAGAGAAGCCTGGCATTGAACAGAAAGGCAGGGTCTCCAATGACTTTTCATGGGGCTGGAGAGATGGTTCAGTCTGAGAAATGTTTGCTGTGCAAGATGAGGACATGAGTTTGATCCCCAGAACCCATGTTTTAAAAACAACAAACAAAAAACCAGCTGGGTATGGTGGTATATACAATAATGCCAGAGTTGGGGAGATGGAGACAGGTGAGTCCTTGGGGCTCACTGGGCAGCCACTATATCCAAGTCATTAGAGTCTCAGGTCTCACTGAAAAGTTACACATAAAAATACAAGGTGTTCAGTGTTGTAAAATATTTTAGGATGTGCTACACATTTGTTTATGCTTTGGAACATTTGTTTAATGATGCAGAAATGTGTTGCATTCTTTTATGTAGCATTTGTTTAACTCTGTGAAGCTATGTTACATTGCCTGTCTAAAACACATGATTGGTCTAATAAAGAACTGAACAGTCAATATAGCAAGGCAGGAAAAAGGATAGGCAGGGGTGGGAGACGGATAGAATAAATAAAAGGAGAAATCTGGGGAGAGAGGCTCGAAGATCTAGAAGCCAGAGAAGGAGCAGAACTCAAGGGGCCAGCCACCCTGCTATACACCAGCAACCATGGAGTAAAAAGTAAAGAAAGGTATATAAGACAAAGACAAAAGCACAGAAGCAAGAGGTAGATGGGATAAATTAAGAAAAGCTGGCTAGGAGCCACCAACCCCACATCAAACAGAGGTCTGATCTCCAAAATATATAAAGAACTCAAGACACTGGTCATCAAAAGAACAAATAATCCAATAAAAACATGGAGTACAGACCTAAACAGAGAACTCTAAACAGAGGAATTTAAAATGGCTGAAAGACACTTAAGGAAATGTTCAACACCCTTAGTCATCAAAACAACTCTGAGATTCTATCTTACATCTGTAAGAATGGCCAAGATCAAAAACACTGATGACAACTTATGCTGGAGAAGTTGTGGGGGAAAGGGAACACTTCTGCGTTGCTGGTAGGAGTACAGGCTGGTACAGCCCCTTTGGATGTCAGTGTGGCAATTTCTCAGAAAATTAGGAAACAACCTTCTTCAAGACCCAGCAATACCACTTTTGGGTATATATCCAAAGGATGCTCAATCATGCCATAAAAACATGTGCTCAACTATGTTCATAGCAGCATTGTTTGTCATAGCCAGAACCTGGAAACAACCTAAATGCCCCTTGACCGAAGAATTGATTAAAAAAAAAAAAAGTGGTACATTTACACAATGGAATACTATACAGTAGAAAAAATAACGACATCTTGAAATTTGCAGGCAAATGGATGGAGCTAGAAAACATTATTTTGAGTGAGGTAGCCCAGATCCGGAAAGACAATTATCATATGTACTCACTCATAAGTGGATTTTAAACATAAAGCAAAGAAAACCAGCCTACAAACCATAATCCCAGAGAACCTAGACAACAATGAGGATTCTAAGAGATACATACATGGATCTAATCTACATGGGAAGTAGAAAAAGACAAGATCTCCTGAGTAAATTGGGAGCATGGGGGCCTTGGGAGAGGGTTGAAGGGAAGGGGAGAGGCAGGAAGGGGAGCAGAGAAAAATGTAGAGCTCAATAAAAAAAGAGGAAAGAAAAGCTGGCTAGAAACAAGCCAAGTTAAGGTCAGACATTCATAAGAAATAATCCACTCCATGTGTATGGTTTATTTGGGAGCTTAAAGACAACTACAGGTCAGCTCCCAAAGAATGAACATGGCTGACCTCTGGGCTTCCACATGTTTATGAACATACATGCAGGCATATACATGTGAACACAAATATACAGTAACTTTTTCTAAAGACTTCCAAAGAAAAAACTTCAATGAGACTGTTCTTAAGACACTAATCCCAGGGACTCAAGCTCAAGGCGGCAAAACCGGCATGAGCGCACAGCCTGCAGATAGCAGCAAGCAAGAAGGAATCATTGGAGCTGGGTTTAGGGAGAAGGGGATCCCAGCGAGCCCTTGAGCCTTTCAGCACCGCCCCCTGGAAAAACCCCTTTCAGGTAATCCTGGCTCAGGCTGGCCTTCTGCGGCTTGCTGACTACTGGGCTGTTCATAAATGACTTCACATAGATCCAAATACTTGGACAGAATGTGGGACGGAGTGATCCCGGGAGTAAAAATCAGTGAGTGGGATGCTGGACAGTGCTGACGAAGCTAGTGGTGAGTTCATCTCCCGCCTTGGGCGCTGTATAGCCTGAGACGTGTTCTGCAGGCAAAGAGCAACCATCTAGAAGTTGTAACACTATCCTGGGTCATCACATTTGTGACACTGTCCAGTGAGATGAGCACCTGCCACACTCAAGCATATCACCGACATGCTACACGTGTTACATCATGTCTTCATCCCCATGCTGTGTGGTGGGTTTCTCGGTGCCTAGCTCATTTCCCACATGTGGGCATGCATGCATATGTGTGCATATGCGCTCACATGCTCGCATGTGCATGTTTATGAGTGTGTGTTGCACAAACATGCTGGTAAATGTGGGTGGGTATGCATGTGTGTAAGGTGACCAGAGGACAACCTCCTCAGCTATTATGTCTCAGGCACCATCCACCTGTTTTTATTGTTTTGTTTTATTGGTTGAAACAGAATCTCTCAGAGGCCTGGTACTCTCAAGGAGGCTAAGCTGGCTGGCCTGTGGGCCCCAGAGATCCTGCTTCTGCCTTGCAAACTGTGGGTTTACAAGGACATGCCACTACAGTCTACTGTTTTTCTCTTCTTTAACGTGGTTTCTGAGGATCGAGCTCAGGTCCTCAGGCTTGCAAGGAGAGCACTCTGCTGTCTAAGCTATTTCCCCGGCCCATTCAACACCCATTTCTTTAACAGAAAACAGAATCCTGGCAACATCTTGCTCTTCCAGGATTAGGAATACAAGCACAGCTTTGACTTCAGAGCCTAGCCATTCCTACCAAGCACCTACTGTAGACCCCAGACAGAAGAAAACTGCTAGATTGAGATATTAAAAATGCTCCAAACAGCAAAGGGTGAAGTTAACACCAAAGCAGTCACAGGTGCCCGTGTCTTCTGGGGCCTCCATAAGGAAGGCTCTAAAGCCCTGCAGAAGGCAGCTCCTTTGAGCCTCTGTGTGAGTCTATGGGAAACAATTCTATTGTAGGCCATTGTTAGGACCGCGGTGTGAAAACAGCATTGTTTCTGAGGCTTTAAAGAAATCGCGAATAAAAATTTGTGGAGTTCTTTATTATTCCATACTTAAGAGATGGGGAAACAGACAGTAACTTTTTTTATAGATTTACTAGGCTGGAGACTGCAGTGCCAAACACAAGGTTTATTGTCAAATAAAAGCCTGCTTTGTTTCTGACGGCCTGTTTCAGAAGAGGGCTGCCTCCGCTCTGTAATTGCACGCACAAAATTATTTAATTTGTTTTGTTTGGATCTTATTCTGGACACTTTCCCAGCCAGACAGGATGTAAAAATTAAAACATCTATTATGCCTTTTATATTCTGAGGTAGGTTATAAGGAGGAAGAAAGAAGAAACATATTCAAGAGTGGAAAGGATTCTTTTTTTTTTTTAAGTCTCTGATTGTGAGCCCCATCCGAGCTACGGTCACATGTCCTCTGCGCTACCTTGCTCTGCGGAAAGTTCCTCTCCTGCCTGCAGCCCTGACCTTGTCTACAGGAGATGTGTCAAAAGCCACAGTGACCCCTCAGAACAGTAGCCTATAACTCCAGGGCAAGGCACGCCCTTAGCCTCTGCAGAAACAATAAAGGATTGGTACTTTGGGAGCAGCCTGAATGATCCAGGCATCCCTGAGTCACCAGGACATAAGTCGAGGTCCAGCAGTGGGTGCCTGGATCACATGACACTGAACCATCTATGTACACACGTGAGTCTGTTTGTATTATGCACTAGGTTTTGTCCTGTTGATTTATAAGCACACTCAGAGATTAACACAGATATTTTAAAAGGGGGACAAGACAGCACCCTCTGTATGATAGAGGGTGGTCAGAAACCTGTGTCCGGATCTGAAAGCCAGACGGCTGTGCCCACCCCAGCCTCCTCAAACAATAAGAGACACTAGGTCCCACTCTTGAGAATTCACAGCTTCAGGAACTTGGGAGAATTCCAAAATGAAGATGGAGGGAGGAGCCCAGGATGTCCCTGGCCCTGGCTTCAGGGTCATCACACCCTCTCTGGTCTTGCCACTCACATCTCATACTCCTCATCCCTCATCCTCAGGCAGAACGTTTCCAGGACCCGCCTCAGCTCTCTGGACTGCACCTTGCCCGTGTTGTTGACATCGATGAGCTGGAGGGCTTTCCACGTGGTCTTCAGGTTTCGGAAGACCTGCACAATAAAGAGGGATTTTGGAAAAGCTAAGGGGCCCAATGGTAAAAACTCAAAAGCTAACAAAATATGCAGACACTTTTTTTTCTTTTTACTACTTCTTGTAAAATAAAATGTTTTCAAAGATTCTTAGCAGTACACATTGCACAATGACATCTTTGGAAAAAAAGAACATTTTGCATATATTAAGAGTTTGCAAGGCAATTGTCTCAGTAAATGGTCTTAGTAAGTTTTTTAAAAATCTCTTTTTAATGTAAAGCAGTAAGGCTCATACACAATTCATCCCCTTTTAGGGCTGTATGAAAAATCTTTTTTGTTAATTGATGCTGAAAAACTAGTCCTGGCATAGCTGGACTTGTGTGATTTTTGCTTTTCATGGCCATATGCGAACTATTTTTACTGCTAGCTGGAAAATCTGACGGTCTATTTCAACCTCTCATTTTTTTTTTTAAGATACCACAGAAAAGTTTTGCAACGATGCCTGAATTCAGCAAATGAGAGTCACCATGTGAGGTGTCTGGAAGGGCCCTGGGAAGAGATGCAAGGACAGGAAGTGGGTCTTCATGCGATTAGACTTCTGTGGGGTTCATCTGAGAACTCAGAGCCCCACTAGCAAGTGCTCACACCCCAACAAGTCTGCATTTTCAGATTTAGTAAGTGAGGGCCCAAGGAGACCCGACTCAACAGCACGCAGCTAAACAAAAAGACGTCATCTTCCAACTCCAGCCTGTCCTTTCACGACACTCCCTAAAGGAAGGCTAGACATGCGACACCGTGTCACTAACAGGGGAAAAGCAGCTGGGAGGGAGAGCCAGACACGGCGTGGGCAGAGGCATGGGCCTTCAGAGGAACATAAACACTTTCAGCTACTGTGGTCTGGGAGGCTTCCTGCAGGAGGTGGCAGGCGCCGAATCAGCAGGGGTTGACTCCAGAGCCTGGGCAGGAGGGCACTGAGAAACAGCGAGAAGGCTGGATCCCAAGGGATCTGGTTCTACACTCAGAGGAATGGATCCAGCCATATTCAGCCTGGATTCTAAGGAAGTTTATCAGTAAGCTTCCAAAGAGTGGGGAGAACCGCCCGACAGCAAGAGGGCCCCCTTTCTGCCAGCATTTTCTCCACGTGTCCCTAGGCTATCCTAGACTGATGGAGCCCAACTTATCTATAAGGCGGCCCCTCCTGCAGCCTCTCCAGGGCAGTCATTTTCCATCTCTAGCCTGAGGACTCAGGATCTGGGTGGGGTGAGTGGTGTTCTGGAGCTGCTTTCAGCTCTTGCCTCTGCCTCACCCTGGCCACTTGCCTCTCCACCTACTGCTCCACCTCTCCTACGGTGTCACCATGAGACTCTCCTGCCAGGACCCTGTGAGTCCTGTGTGTCTATGCAAGGCCATCCTGCTGACACCTGAGCTCACTTCCAGAGGCCATGGTTCCACTCAATCTCTGTGCTGTGTTAGTACCAACAGCCACTGACTGTGCAAGATCAAGGTGCTTGTCCCCTCTGCTTTCTAGATCACCCCCTTCCACAGCCCAAAGCCCACCAGCATCCCCCTCACTGGGTCCCCTGCTTGCAGTTCCATCCCTTTCCTGTGTCCTCCATACTTATTCTTCTTCATCGGATCCCCTTGAATGCATGATCCCCCTTCTCCCTACCTCAACCCTGAGTGGGTTCAGCCCATGGCCTGTCCCCCATTGTGCGTGTGTGTGTGTGTGTGTGTGTGTGTGTGTGTGTACACTATGGCAGCAAAGAAGGATCAGCATGCAGCGCCCAGTCCTGGTGGAATGCGGGGTCTGAGTTAAGGAACAGGAAGCACTTACTGGCACATTTCTCTCTCCACACACCAGGAGTCTGGGAGAGAGGCTGAAGAGATGGCTCAGCCATTAAGAGCATTACTGCTCTTGCAGAGGACTGGAGTTTGATTCCCAGTACCCACAGCAGGTGACTCAGAACGGCCTGTACCATATTTAGGGTATCCGATAGCTCTTGCTTCTGTGGACAGAGCCACATATGCAGACACACACATACATATGCACACATGCCCACAACATGTAAACACTCTTACACCCTGCATACACACACGTACACATGCACACATGCCCACAACATGTATACACCCCTACACCCATTTCAAGTTTAAAATTTGTATTGCCAGTACTGGGGACAGAACCAAGGACTTTGCATACACTAGGCAAGAGTTCCCTTGGGGCCATGCCCCAGCCCCATTCCTTACCAGGCTAGCTGTTTGCTTTATGGAGAACATAGCTGAGTCCAGATAAGAACATCCAACTGCCTGTCTGTCATATGCCAGTGACCCTCAGATTTCCCACACTGGAGCTGTTCTTCCCACACCCTCCCACCCCATGGGTAGGTAGCAGATCTCCCGCCTTTCCTCTATCCTCACTCACATTCAGCCCATCCGGACAGCTCCTCAGCACTTCCCTGAACTTCTAGAAGGATCCTTGGGAGCTCATAGGACTCCTGTCCCTGTGGTTCCTCAGAACACATCAGCACCACTGCAGGAGCGCTTTCTGCTACTAGTCCTGGGGTCTAGGGTGTCCCTGGGTGGGATGTCCACGTTCAGGAAACATGTGTGGGAATGTGTGACTGATCCTTTCTGTTTGCCTGGGGAAACAGTCATATGCTGAGAAAGCTTTGTGGTCTAACTGCAAGGGCCTCTTCTGACCCATCAGGACTCTGGTGGCTCTGGCCCAGTTAAAAGGTGTAACCGTGACATTTCTTTGATGTCCAGTGATGACAACCATCACAGGCTGACAGCTGCAAAGCCACATACTGAGTTTCCCACAGCCCACTGTCTTCTAACAGCCAGAGCACATGGGTGGCCCTAATCCTATCCCAGATTGGGATTGGAAATCACAGACTAGCCTGTGCATCTATCTCTCACCCCACCCCTAAATCTAAAGATGGAACTCCAGGTATCCATAGCAATTGCTTCCAGGGTCAAGAAGAACTGTAGCGTCCTCTCTGCTGCTAAGTCCCCGTCCACCTCTTCAGAGAACGCGGAGGAGGACAGGAGTGACACCCCACTTTACAGCCCCATGGCAACCCATATGGGTCCCCTGCACGGAGAGCTGCAAGCCGCAAGCCTGGCAGGGAGCTCACGCCCACCAGAGGTACTTCTCCAAGTTTCCTATCACTTGTCAGACGCAAGTTTGGCACCAGCCACAGAAGGGAGCTACAGATGGTAAGACTTAGCAAAGGTAACAGAGTGAGGGCCCTGGTGAGCAAGACTGGTCGGCATGGGGTGGGTGAGAAGATGAAGGGGACAAGAAAGCAAAGATGGGGGCCCAGCAGGGACGACCGAGCTCTGTTCATCACCCCTTCCCTACCAGCGTGAGTGACTTGGAATTCCCACAGGTCATGAGCTCCTCTCCCTGCTGTAAGACTGAAAGCCCTGAATGATCCCAGCCTCTCTCCTCCCTTCCTCTGCTCCAGCTGTGCGTCCATCCTTACCCTTGCTCCCAGCAGCAAGCAAGTACACACTTCTGTAGCTCTGGTCTCTTCAGCTGGCCAGCTCCCTCCCTGCCCTCACTCATGCCGTGGGTCACATAGCACCTGCTCAGAGAGATGCCCGAGCACACTTTGGATCTGTCTGGATCACTTGCTTCATTTTTCTCTGCACACACTGACAGTCCCTGGCTTACTTCCTCTCTGGAACGTGGCTCTGTTCTAGGCTGCTGTGGGATCCTTGGGGCTCAGTACTGCCTGGCCTTAACATGTGGTAACTATTGCACAGAAAGCTCTTCCCTTGTTCTCTGCTGTCCAATCAGGCAGGGTTAGCTGTGGGAAAATACTCTGGCCAAAAGCTACGTTAGGAGAAAAGGGCTTATTTCACTTTCTATTTCCAGGTCCCAGTCGCTCACTGAGGGAAGTCAGGGCAGGAACTGAAGCATGAACCACAGAGGAACACACTCTTACTAGCTTGCTTTCTGGCTATGCTCAGTGGCCTAGGGAGGGTGCTGCTCACAGAGGACTGGGTCTTCCCACGTCAATTACCAACTAAGACAGTCTCTCACAGACATAACCACAAACCAATCTGAGTCAGGAAACTCTTCAACCGAGGTGCCCTTTTCCCAAGGGGCTCAAGGTTGGATCAGTTAATAAAAGCTAACAAGGGAAATCTGGAACCTTCCCTCCAGCTTTCCTAATCACTCTTCCACCTTGACACTGTCCCCTGATGCTGACCTGGATAGCTTGTGTTTCTCTGGCCAGAAATGGATGAACAGTCTCCCTTGGGGGAAGGAGGGTCATGCCCATTGCCTGTCTGACTCTGCCCTCTGTTCTAGCCCTTCCCAGGATTCTGGGATCACTTTGGAGAGGAGTGGGTGCTAACTACAAAAGGAGGGGCTGCTACTCCTCACTGCCCTCTTCAAAACCAGCACAGTTCTCCGAAAGGAAGGCATGGACCTCATGTCTTTCCCAACAGGTCAGCCTTCCTGATGTTTACCTCTGTGCTAGCCTCCATCCCTAAGGGAAATCTAACTTTGATGTAGGTATATGAACCAAATGCAGGTATCTGCTACCAAATTTTACATACCTGGAAGCTAAAATTGGCCTTAGCAGTTTTGAATAGTTGGGGAAGAGGAATCAAAAAAAGAATCTATTGCATGTCACGTGAAGTAAAGTAAATTTCAAATTTCAGTGTCCACAAATAGATATAAAGGATTCAGCCAAACCCACTCATTCACATAGTGTTGGGGCTGATTCCCTACCAGACAACAGCCTGGAAAAATCCTGGGGACACAAAGTCCAGATGTACTCCACCCTCCCTGGCCCATTGCAGAGTAAGACCATTAGGCATTCTGCTGTCCTACCCACAATCCCTTGCAGACAGCTGACTAGTGAAGGAATTTCCGGGGAGATACATGTACGGAGAGGGGGTGCAGAGGATTTAAGCAGACGGCTGACAGCCAAGTGTGGTGGCACTGCAGTGGCTGAGGCAGGTAGAAGAGGTGGAATGTCACAGGTCTGAGACCAGCCTGGGCT